CTCTTTCTAGATAATTTGCTGGGCTAGCTCCTTAAGTCTATAAAACATATAAGAAATTTTCTGTGATTTGGCATGGAGTCGTTGATTACAATGCATATTTGGAATACTTAAAGAAACTCAGTGACCCAGACTTTATTTTCATAAGTTAAATGATGGAACCAGTATGCAGAATTCACTGCCTTTGTTATTGGTTGAGATGACCCTGTAATACTTAGGAGTTAGATATCAAGTAGTTTGTGGACTCCTTGAATCTAGGAACCAGATCTTAGGTTTTATTTCAGTTCCCCTTCAATGCTAAGCCCCGCATGTGATATTCATTAATATCATATGAATAATGTCATACGCTGGTGTGGATCCTGGTGGGTGAGGAGTTACTCATTGCATAATAAAATACTGAGTTGTGTGTTTTTGTTTTTTTTTTTTTTAAACAGTTTAACTGGTAAAATTATTGGACATATTTTTTGCAATAGAAATGACATTTTGAGTTTCTGTAACAAACTGACCTATGCTAACAAAAGTCTTCAGGTGACCTTTCCAATCTCCAATTTGTATTTGAATCTGCATTTTACCTTTTTTCTCTGTCTCTGGTTGTAATCCCTTTCTGTTTATTTAGTCTTTCAGTTATGTTCTGATCCTCCGTTTCCCACTTATTGTAGAGGGTTGGTGGGTTTGTAGCTGCTGCTGCTGCTGCTTCTTTTAATCTGTACTATATTATTATATCTGTTTAAAAATAAAAAAGAAATTGGTGTAGGGTCCTGACATGCGTTTTACCAAGAGTAGACATCCATTCTAGAGGAACAGTCTGCCTCACTAACAGGACAGTTACTCAGACATTTAGGGCCTCTTTTTGCTATGTGTAGTCAATGTTGAAATGATTGTGATGTTCCATTATGAGACAGAGGAAGATGAGAAGGCTCAAAGTGACTCACAGATCTCACCAGAAATGGTGGGAGTGGCTGAAATGACCTGAGTATGAAGCGATATCCAGACCAATTCTAGAGCTGACTGTCTGAAAGTCTGAAGTAGCTACTTGTGTGTCTGTAATGCAGCCAGTCTTCTAAAATCATGTCTATTGCATGTGGTGTAACCACAGATCTATCCATTGGCTAAAACATTTTAATTTCATAGAGAAAATTTGATTTTGAAAATGTGGAATAGTGGCCTGAGGCAGTTGCCAAAATAGCATAAATTTCCTTTAGGCAACTCTCTTATGTTCTAAGGGAAGAATGTAAGACCTTTTTTCTGATTTCTGTATAGGAATTCCCAAATAGTTGCCAGAGCTATTAAGTATCATCACTTTAAATATTTACATCAAAATAAGCATAAAAGGATGAAAAGAAAGTAAACAGCATGGCAGTTATTTTTCAACATGTATTTTAAGCACATCCTAATGCGTCTTTGATTATTTCTTAAATTGAAATATATTCTATTAATTAAAAACAACTTTTGTCTGAATGGATTAAGAAATACCAAGATGTTTCCATTTTTGCTCAAATTGATAGAATTTTCTTCATACTACTTGGAAACTATTTTTGAAGAGCCTTTGTGTTGTCATGAATTTTACTGATTAGTGGAATGTTCCATTGTTTCTTTTTTTTCCCTAGACATTAGCTATGGTAGTAAAGATAGAAAAGGAGAAAAGTAGGACATGCTTGTGGCATTTTGGCACTGTAGGGAGAATCTACATCAACCGTAGTTACAAATGGTAAGAATTTAATTTTGTCAAGAATTAGGAAGAATAGAAAGGTGGGCCTTATGTACCTGCCTTGTGGTTTCCCCTTAAGTCCACTACCTAATGCCCACAAACTAATATTTTTTTCACCTCTACATGCTGTCACTGATCTTGGATTACCAATGACCCCTTTCTCCATTACTGCATTTGCCATTGTTGCTGGGGGGAAAAAATATCTGTTATAAAGTTACCTGTACTGAGCCTCCGTCAGGGACATGCTGCTCCGACAGTTTACCTCGTTAGCAGTCATTCTAAACCTTTTCCACACCCTTCCTTCTTCCAGAGTCATTTTATTCCTCTGTAGAGATGATTTTGCTTTCTGCTTTCCTAAGATAATCTAGTGTAGCTTCATTCCATTATTTTCTTCTCTCTTCCCTTTACAACATAACTATCTCAGGATTTTTTTGAGCTATTGTTTCTTCTCTCATTCACCCTTCGTTTTTTCAGACATTGCTTCCCTCTGGTTTCCAAAGCCAGCCCTTTCCCTTGAGCCTGTACCTCCTCCTGACCTCATCACCTCTCTCCTGTTATGAACTTAGCTTCTTTTTCTTACGTACATGCCTGCGTTTCCTCGACCTTCCAAACAAAACCCGGATAAAATTCTTCAAACTCTTTTTCCTTTTCTGTCCCCCTCAGAATCTAGGGAAATTCCATATATGATCAGTTTTCTTCTAAGGAAATAAAGAAGGCTGATGTGAGCACCCTAGGTTTTTGGTCACCTTTCCTTCCACATACGTTTTCTCATCGTTGTGGCATGACTGCCTTCTCTACTGCTTATAAAACTGTATTCTGAAGAACCTTAAAGGATGTTTAGTAACCAACGTAATAAAATAGTGTCCTCATCCTAAACCTTTGTTCATTCCTTCCTTCCTAAAACTGATCATTTCACTTTAAAAAAAAACACACACACACATTTTCTTTTTTAAAAAAATTTCATTTCATTTTATTTTAAATTCCAGGCTACAATTTTTTTTTTTTTTTTTTTTTTTTTTTAAGAGGGAGTTTCCCTCTTGTTGCCCAGGCTGGAGTGCAATGGCACGGTCTCAGCTTACCACAGCCTCTGCCTCCTGAGTTCAAGCTATTCTCCTGCTTCAGCCTCCCTAGTAGGTGGGATTACAGGCACCTGCCACCACAGCTAATTTTTGTATTTTTAGTAGAGATGGGGTTTCACCATGTTGGTCATGCTGGTCTCGAACTCCTGGCCTCAGGTAATCTACCTGCCTCGGCCTCCCAAAATGCTGGGATTATAGGCGTGAGCCACTGCAGCCGGCAAAAAAAAAAAAAAAAAAAGAAAAAGAAAAATTTTTTCTTGACTCTCTTTTTGTTTCATTATTACTTAGGAACTCCTTTATTAACTGTTTTTGGTGGTATGCTTTTTTCAGTCTATATGCTTTTCTTCAGAGACTGAATGTAATAATTGTTTAAATTATTAGCTTGGTCTTTGTTGTGTCAAAAATATTGAAAAATTATTGGCTATGTTTTTAAGTTCAGAAAAACATAAGATGATCCTTTGGAGTTTTGTATCGTGCATTGCACTTTGTTCATTTGTTCATTTGTATCACCATAAGGATTTATACCCAAACCAAAAAAGTTTAAAATAAAGTACAGCACTGTTTAATTTTATATGTTTCACTAATCTAATACTAATCTAATATTTTGGTTTATTCATGACAGAAGTTAACTCTAGTCTTTTCATCCATGTAGCTCTTTTTACCTAGATCATAACAGCGGGGATAGGGAGAGGGCAGTCTGGGTTTCCTCACTCTACTTTTCAATAGGAAAGTCTGGATCTGCTGTGGGAGAACATGCAGGAGTCAGGAGGGGAACAGAGCGGTACTAGAAGTCTATTTTAATGCTTTATGCTAACGCGTTTTACACATTGGATTCTACTCATCTATTTAAAAGTGGGCATTACAAGAATAGTTTTGATATTTTATTCTGAAATAAACTTTAGTGGAGTGATTGGAAATAGCACTCAGTATTACTGGGTGATACACTGTTTTTGACAGCGTTTAGGAAAGAATCAAGTTTTATCTGTGAAAAATAATTGTTAAACACATGGGACTAAGTACTGGTTGTGGTTATCTATGTATTTCATGTAAGTGGACAAATATAACCATAGTCACTTGTTTCCACTTTTATGTTGTCAACAGTAAGAGATACTAATACATTTTTGAAGAATATTGATATTTCAACCAAAATAAATTACCATTCTCAGATGGATGACCTCAATTGATAGATACAAATTGCTATCAATAGTGAACGGGGAGGTTTGAACAATGTAATAGTACAAACATCTCATACTGAAAGTAGAAGTTTTGAGAAATGTACAAAGTGGGTTTTACAATTTACAGCTGGAAAAATGTCAGATGGCTTTGGGGACTTTCTTGTGACCACACCTTAGACCTTCGTTCTTTAGTGACAGGCTATGCCACCCTTCCTGAGGAGATGAACACTAAACATTGCACCTCCAACCCTAATGTGCCTAAGAAATGTACTGGCAACTTGGATTGGGCTTTACAAAGTTTGCCAATACATAGCATAAACCAGCCTTTATGTGACTGAGAGACAGAATTGGGAAGATCAGTTCATTGGGATGCTAAGTACGGCCTGGTTCGAATAAGAGTTAGAGGTATATTGTTAGAGACTCAAAAATAAATCCATTATCAGAACTTTCATTTGCCAAGAGAGGAAACAGAAAGTTATTGCAAAGTTTTTAGAGTGAAAAGTGTAATATGTATGTACATAATACTGTCATTCTTACTTGCTCGTATAATTTTTTAAAAGACAATTCGAACTGATGGAAGAGCAGTGATTGTTCAAACAGTAAAGATGAACTCTATCAAAATATGCTGTCGTTTTTTGGATGGCAAATGTGATTGAGTAGTGAAGTAAGGTCCTTGGTCCTTCACTCTGGTACTTTTAATTGATCATCTGTGTCCCAAGCAGAAGTCTACCACTGAGTAGAAAATGCCATTTCCAGAGGCAATTAAAGATTTCTGATGCCAACAATTCTTAAAGATCTAAGCCAAATTGTGAAGTTGATTAAATCATAGGCCAATTATAATGCATTTATCTGTTAAAGACAGTGAAAGGAAGGCTTTAAAGTGACAAATAAAAGAGATATTGGAGTATTTTTTAATGATGAATTTAAGTAACTTAACATGATTTATAGTGGCATTGATTTTACCTATTTAATAGACACTTATTTTTGAATTCCATTAAATTTTCTGTTTATAACCCATTTTCATCTTGTAAATATCAACAGAAGGACCCAGTGGGGTAGCCAAGAGAAAAACTAAGGCTAAAGGTATTTTCATTTTTTCAAATTAGCCTTGAGTGAATCAAGTTTAATGTTTGAAAATGCATGACATTTTCTGGGAATGTTAATCTTGCTACTAATGCTAAACATTATTGCTTTTGGGTCTTGCTTGGGTGCACCTTAGCTTATAAGTAGTTTTATCAAGACTTCATCAAATAATTTTCTGCTTCAAGCCTATAATTTTAAGTCATTATCTTTTCATGTTATCAAAGCTTTGTAACAGTCTTTAAATTAAGAATGTGTATATTATACAAATATCACGTTATATTTGTTATGATGTATATATTAAATTTACATGTACACATCTTACCTTGTTCCCTAAAACCTTTCTTACTTTGATTTCTTTGAATTACTTTTGGGAAAAAAAGATGAAGTCTTCAGTAATTGATTTTATTTCTCCGAAAGCTCTCTTGACACTCTGTCTTAGAGCACAGTAAAAGCTAGTGTGATTCAAATGTGTAGTTTTCAGTAAAATGAAAACTTACATGTATAATGTAGAACCCTGCATTACATTGACATAGAATTTGCTGTGTTGGATATTTTAATTCATTAAAAATTATTGACCGAGCACGGTAGCTCACGCCTGTAATCCCAGCATTTTGGGAAGCCGAGGTGGGTGGATCATGAGGTCAGGCATTTGAGACCAGCCTGACCAATATGGTGAAACCCTGTCTCAACTGAAAATACAAATATTAGCTGGGTGGCGGGCACCTGTAATCCCAACTGCTCAGGAGGCTGAGGTAGGAGAATCGCTTAAACCTGGGAGGTGGAGGTTGCAGTGAGCTGAGATTGTGCCATTGCACTCCAGCCTGGGCAACAGAGTGAGACTCTGTCTCAAAATAATAATAATAATAAATCAGTTATTATACCTGTCAGCCATTTGTAGACTAACAGCTCAATATTACAGCCTGACTTTATATGCCAGCGGTTATTCTTGTTCATATGTTAGTAGTCATATTCTTTGTGGGTAAAAGGCATGGGGGATGTGCATGGTTTTCTTTATAAGCCTGTGATAGTCTTGTGATCATTTCAAGGGCTTGGCGTATTGTTTGTAGTTTGTTTTTTGCTGAAATATGAACAGGTGAGACATAGTATGTGATTCACAGAGTTTTGTGATTTATATTTTAAGGTCAGGAACTTTTAATGGTTTAACCTATCTCTCCTGAATAATTTCTGGGGACGAAAACAATTTTTACCGTCTTGTTTTTATAGAAATAGTGATGAAACAAAGGGACAATAAAATATTTTACTTCTTGATCTGGAGAAGCAAATTAAACATTAAAGACTGAATATTTTTAAAAGCAGTTTGCAGAATAAGACATGATAGCATTGCACATGCATTTTACTCTTTTGCAATGCCGGTATCTATGTTACTATTCAAACAGCACTGAAGTAGGATGAAGACTCAGCATGATCCTGAATGAATTCTGTTCTGTATTCTTAAAAGACTTTAATAAGGTTTTTTAGGAAGAACTGAAGAATCTCCTGGTTGATCACCAGGAAATTCAACTAATGGAGAAACCCTATGTGATGTTTTTGTTCTTTAATCAAGATTTTATTAGACAGCCTAGAAAGATACAGTACTTTTAGTGAGCAGTGCAAATCTAATGCTCATTTTGAATACCGTTTGTGCTCTGTAAGTTTTACGTGATTCTGATGGGCAAAAACATCTTTCACATTTTATTATATTAAATAAATATTTCATCTTCTTTGTGCTTAAATGTGGCATTGTTTCTGCTTAAATGTGGCATTGTAAACACCTTACCTTATGATTTCCTCATGAGAGTACAAACAGATGAAATTCAGAGCTTTTGCTAACTGCTTTATTACCGTGTAAAGCAAGTTGAAAGCAATACCTTCCATGAGATTTGGAATTAGCTGTGTATTTCATTTAATTGCTCTCGCAACCCTATGAACTAGAAGACATGTGTTAGCTTGAGTGGCTCTACATGAATTAACAGGGAAACATACTTAAAGGAATACTGATTTCATGATGAACATAAGCAGAAAGGGAATTCTAATTTTTCCTTTTAAATACTACAGATATGTAGTGTTTTTTAAATTTTTAAAATTTAAGTTTCTAAAATTTTAAATCATTTTGCAATTTTAAAATGATTTTAAAATTTCATACACATGACAATTTTTTGCCTAGTTAACTAAGAAAATGAAATTATATTTAATGTTATTTACATATATTAATCTTCAAAGAAGCACGTGTATTTTAAGGACATATGTTTTTGTTTGAGCTAAACATTTTAAATTATCTTTGTATATATTCTTACAAATTACGAAAACTTTGTTCTTATGTTGCCAGTGTTCCTTTAATTATGTTGTTATAGTTACGAAGTGTGAGTTAGTAGTTTGTGTAAAGTACTGCTTTCATGGTGCAGTTTTATAATATTGCATGTTAATGTTTTAAGATAAGTCATACTATATTTCAAGATGGAAAATATGACAAGCTTCTAGCATTTTTTAATAGTTGATATTTTATAGAGGTTTGCGTCTATTTTTAGCCACCATAAAGACTAGTGAATTAAAGTAACTTTATGAATGTGCATTTCCTGTGTGTGGAGAAAAAGAGAATACCTTTTCACTAACTTCCTGTTCTGTAATTAAGAGATCTTGTCAATAAACATTTTTTCCTTTAATTGGAAAATCTGGAAGTTAAAGAACTCACTAAAGAAGAGCTCAAGAAGGAGAAAGAGAAACCTGAGTCAAGGAAGGAAAGTAAGAATGAAGAGAGAAAAAAGGGGAAGAAAGAAAAAGAGGATGACCGAAAGGATAAGAAAATTGCTGATGCAGACCTATCCAGGAAGGAGTCTCCTAAGGGTAAAAAGGACAGAGAAAAAGAGAAAGTGGACCTAGAAAAAAGTGCCAAAACCAAGGAAAATAGGAAAAAATCAACAAATATAAAGGATGTTTCTAGTAAAATGGCATCCAGAGACAAAGATGACAGAAAGGAAAGTAGAAGTTCTACCAGATATGCACACTTAACGAAGGGAAGTACCCAGAAAAGAAACTACTAAAGCTCTGGCATCATCATCTCAGAACATGGTCATGTTCCAGATTGCAATTTGTTACAAAATGGAAAATTGCAATTTGTTACAAAACGGAAAATGTAATATTGCTCTGATTGGTGAAAGTGTGTAAATTAGCCATTGAATGTATTACTGGTGCTCAGCAAGTAAATTATCTGAAATTTAAATATACCGTCTCATGCTTCTAAATGTAAAAACCTTTTAAAAATATGTCATAGAATATGATGTAATAACTTCTATTTATTGATCATGTATTCCTACAAATGTATATGTGTCATGAATTTTTATAGATTAATGTATTAAATACTTTCATTGACGTTAAATAAGAATATTAAGATATTAAATGTTATTTCTATGCAGAAAAAAAAAGCCTTGTAACTTCTTCAAGTTTGCTAAATACTCAAGGAGATAGGATTTGCCCTTTGTTTTCTTCCCTCCTTCCCTTTCCTGCTTCCCTGTTTTTCGTGGGCACCTCCCCAGGCTCATGTGTCACTGCCTTCCCTGAGTCCCCCCCCTCTAGCCCTCCTGCAGCCTTTCAGGGGCCGTTCTTCAGGCTTTTCATGGGTTCTCCTTCCCCTTTTCCCTCTTCTCTCCCCTCTTCTAGTCTCCCTCCCCAAGTCTTTTACTCTCTCCTTTCCTTCACTCCTCACCTCACCCCTGCCCCTCACTCCTGCATGCTTCTCACTCCTGACCTCCTTACAACAACCCCACCATTTTCCCCTCATCTAGCCCATAGTGCTTACCGTGTGCCACATACACTGCTCCGAGAACTCTGGCCATAGCTACGAATAAAGAGGAGAATTGTATTTAGAAGAACAATTTCAGAACACTTTTATTTATGATACCTTTATAGTCTTGAAATAACTGTAGAAAGGTTTTAATTATTTCAGATTAGGATGTACTTTCATTTTATACTACACTGTTTTTCTATTATTTTGGTTGAATGGCATACATTTTTCATATTTGATTGTGTCGTTATTGTTTACCATTTCTAAGGAATTGCAAGTGTAATCTCTAAATAGAGATCAGAATTTAGCACCTCAGAAAACATTTAATAAAAGTGAAGTTTTAGTCAGAAATATAATTCTACAAATGGTTTGTACTATTCGATGCCTCAAATATTAAATATCTAATTGTGACTACTGTGAAATGCAGTTAGTTGATAATGATAAAATCTTTGTGGTAGCATTTTTTATTCTGTTGTTGTTAACCTTATTAACAACAGAATCAAAAATGCTACCAGAAATATTTTATTTTCAAATAGGGTTATTAATAACAGAATAAAAACTGCTACCACCATATTTTTTAAAACATATTTCTTTACTTTTTTTTGAAGATCTTAAAAATAGAGATTTGTGGCCTAGTTAAAGATATTTCAACTCAGAAATGAGTACATTTAAGTGTAAATATTTCTAAATGTATTGTACACCTTTTTCTTATGTTAACGCCTTTTACTATTTAAAGTCAAATACTTTATGACATTTAGTTGACAGAAATTTCAACTTAATAGAATTATGCAAGAGATGAAATCCTAGAGAATAATATCTCTAATATAATCCTGTTATTTTATTGCTTAAAAACTAACACAACTTGGAGTTTTATGTTTTGATTAGTCAGGATTCATCTTAGCTCACTTCCCAGGTCTTCACTGTGCTGGTTTCTGCCTGAATTACTCTATTTGGAGATGCTACCACTTGGTAACCAAGGTGGCCCTCAGCAGGCTCTAGACTAGTCTTTCTAATTTACCAACCCCAATGCAGATGGCTCTGGGAGAGAGAATTCCAGTTGGCCTGCTTAGGCCTGGTGAACATCTGGGACCATTTTTGAAGTTGAAGATGGCGATACTTCCCAGGCGCACACCTGTGCACAAAGCTTTGGAGTGGGAGTTGAGTGGGTCCCACTCAAACTTCATCAAACGTAGGGCTTCTGGGACAAGAAAGTGAGGCTTTGAGAACTGGACAGAACAAGAAGCAGAACATGTCCCCCAGGCATATGAAAGTTAAACGATTCTCAAACCATATCCCCGTGTTAGATCTTTTCTCATGAGATAAATTGAATGCTTTTTTTAAAAACTTACCTACAAAATGTTAAGTGCTGTCTTCTCTAAAGATTTTTTGTTCTCCCTTGAAGAAGGGCAAACAATTATAAGTGAATTTGTTGAGAGCATTCTAGTAATTTTTTACCTTACTTTTTAAGCTCAATGTCTATGGGGCAGAAAATACATAAATACTAAATTCTAAACAAATGAGTGAAAATATTTTGGAATAACCTAATCATCATAAGCACATAAGTGTTGTCTATTGCTATTTAGTGCAGTACTTTGAAATGTTTTGGCTATATCATTGATTTTTTCCTTTGACTGTTAGCTCAAGAATTGAAACCCCTCAGCTAAAACATTTAAAGATCCTTTAAAAGCACTTGTAGACTAGAACTTGATTTATTTTTCCCTTCTCTCTTCTTTTCCCCTTTCCTTCTCTTTTCTTTCTTTTTGTAAATGTTTCAACTCACTTTTATTGAAGTTGAAGTCACACTTTATCCAGCTGCCTTAACACTTAAGCTTCAAGTAGAAACAAGCTTTCAGTCATGATTAGTGGGTTAAAGTCATGCATTGCACTCTCAGTTTTACACTTTTTATTCAGTAGGTTGTTTCTGTATTGTTTACTTCATATTGTTTTCTAAGTATAATTAAAACCAGAAAGGTTACCTTTTTAAATAAGTCAGCTACAACAGGGACAAGGAATTCACAATACTAAGTAGTTGGGGATCAGAAGCTGTTTTTGGGAAGACCTGGAAGGGGATAATTACTAAAAATGTAAGTTTATTTTGCCCTATCCCTGACAACATTTGATTTAAATTATATTATGACATGATACTTACAAATCTTTTAAATGACATTATTGGCATAGTTTTCGTAAACTTTGTAAGAAAAAGACATTTCACATTTTAGTAGCACAATCATTATTAGGATAGTCAATTTTGTGAAAATAATTGAGTGCCAATGAATTTTTCCAAGGGTGATCTTATATCTTCTATATATTGTAATATTTAGATACTTCCTTTTGAAGCACTTACATCATCATTGAATTTTTTGTCATTTGTTGTGTCACCTAGTTTCTGTTTCATTTTCTAATGGCTTCATATGTATATAAATTTTAGTTATTCCTAACATCATTGGTGTCACCATTTTGAATTTTTTTAAAAATCAAGATTTTCAATTTTACTTTATAGGTAATTTGCATTGTATATAGATGATCCTCTCAAAATTTCACAATGAGACACTGATGAAGAAATTGATATAAATCAGTCAGCATGAACACTCTAATTAATCCAGAGGACTACTTGAGTTAATTCTGTACGTAGTTGCTTTATTGAGAATATTTTATATTATGACCTGTTCAGCTATTCAAGTTTGTAACATCAGAGGTCCTCATAATAATACTTGGATAATAAAGATTCCCCATAGACACTTGCATTGAAAAACAAAAGGAGTAAACAAGTATCATTTTTAATTTGAAATGTTTTAAGTTAACTGTAATGTTATTGTCCATGAAATGGGTCTGGTGACTTAGGCTCTATCTCTTCACATTTATTTCTTTCTCCTGTGTCCTCAATTGTTCCTTCTTCTGTTAATGCCCACTGGTAATAATTCTCAAAATTGATTGCTCAGAATATTCCATTGTAAAATGCATCTTGGAAATGGTTGTTTTCCTCATTTGTAAACTGAAGACCATGGCTGTTCCTCAAGGTAGTTCTCAGAAGCGGTCAATGTTGCATATGTGTCAACAGCCAGCACATTGTTGGGCATTCTGTTTCCCTTTTTCATTGGTAGAATAATAATAGTAATAGTCAACTAAGATGTCTCAGTCAGGGTTTAAAAACTTGGAAGCACTGAAACTGTGATTCCTGTTCCTACTTTTGTCAACAGATTGCAAAACAAATATTTAAGTCCTTTATCCTTTATAATGAATGTGTCTTTGTGAAATGAGTATACTGGAGCCTGATTTATTCTACTGAGATCATTGAGGGAGCGAATGCAAATAATTATAAATGTTACACATGGGTGAAGCTATAAGAATGCTTAGTTTTTAAAATAATATTGTGACGACATGAAAACGCAAGATATAAAGGCTAGACAAAAAGTTATGAAATAAACTATAGCCTTAAGTATATGGTACAATCGAGAAGCCTAATAACCAGCCTAATTGTGAAAAACTTATGTTTGTTTTGTATTCAGATCACATTTTTCCATAGACGTGATTTTATGGTCTTCAGAGATTATTTTTTACTCTGGTCCACAAAAATTGATTTAATTCTAATATCCAGTTCTGCAAGTCTCATTGTAACTATGTTTCTATGGAAAGTGCATCTATCATTCTGCCTTGGGATATTAGGAATATATTTAGTTTTACTTCTGAATGTTCTCCAGAATTTCTTGGGTTACATCCATGGTGTTAAATTCATTCAGATACCTTACATGGACAAAAATCATGGATTGACTGACGTAATTGTAAAGCCCAGGAGTAGTTTTGGCTTTTTTCTTTTGTTATGCTGGATCTAGGTGCTCAAACCATGTTCTCAACCTCCACCTGTCTATGGACCCTCAAGAGTGTTGACTTTCTTCTCAGGCAGTCTCGTGTGCTCATCTTCAACCCTACTCCTTATGGGGTAGGAGATAAGAAAGCTGTGATTGGTGACACCCTGGGATATGTGAGTGCCCACTTTTAAAGTGTTGGGTAAAGAAGAATTGGATTCCCCTAAGGAAGTTAGTGTGTTTTTGCCAGAAGGAGGAGGAATTGGTGCACTGAAAGTAGGCAGATGATGGAGTTTGTTTCTCCTTTTTCTACCCATCCCATTCCTACTTCTCCCCCTGCCCAAATACAGAGGTGAATGGGATGGGCCAAAATAGGTATTTCAGAATAAGAAACTATGGAGCTAAACGTTGGGTACTCATGGGCATAAAGATGGAAACGAGACACTAGAACTTCTAGAGAGGGGGAGAGGGAGGGAGACAAGGGTTGAAAAACTAACAATTGGGTGCTATGCTCATTACCTGAGTGATGGAATCATTCACATTCTAAATTTCAAAATCACACAATATACCCATGTAACAAACTTGCATGTGCTCCTTGAATCTAAATAGAAATTGAAATTATATTTAAAAATAAAAATAAAAAAACTAGGGAGAAGAGAGAGATCTCATTCCAAACAATTATTGGTCAACAATAGTTTGAGACCATTGAAAGAATATAAGAGAATGTTGACCTGGTAATAAATATTGCCATTTAGATGTCAGGTAATGAAGTTTATTTTGCTGTTAAGCTCTCTCCATTTTGCCCCATTCTGTTTAAAAGGAAAGTTTTTGTGTTTAGGAAACCAAAGGATGGGTGATATGTAGCAGACCCATCAGGTTATTTTCATGAAAACCTAGTTTGGGCTAATCTGAAAGATTTCCTCAATAACAGTCTTTAGTCTCTTATCCTTTCTTCTCCTTTTGCCTAAGAATATAATTGTGTAAGCTAGATGTTTATTCCTTGGCTATCATTGTTACATAGGAATCAATTTCTGCAAGAGCTCTGTAAGCCCTACAAAGCAGAAAGTCATCCATTTCTTCCTTCTTTGTTCTCATGTAATGTCTCATTTGATTTCACTTTATGTATCTATTTTTTGCTCCATGTTAAGTCAGGTATGCATACATCATAGAGGTCTGCCTCTTGTTTCCATCTTCTTTGCCTTATGTATCACTTCTCTTGTATCCTACTAGAGGAAGATGATCTATGCTTAAAGCTCTTATTGTTTCTGATAATTATATAACACCAACATGCTGTATCTATAATTCCCATTTATTGACTCAACTAATATTTTTTAGTATCTACAGCATGCCGGGGAATGGGCAAGGCATGGGGGATACAAGAGATTGAGGTGGCTACAATCCCTGCAGTGAAATGCTATGAAATCAGCAAGGGGCTGAGGGAGAAAGTAATGAGACTGGAGCAATTGTCAGTACAACCCACTAGTCCCTCCACCTAGAACGTGCTCCTGAACGTGCTCCTGCTCTGTGTGGTGGGCTGCCTTTGTCTCTCCCACAGGACCCAGCCCAGTCATCACCTCTGCACTCAGATGTCTCTGACCCTCCCAAGTGGCTGCACCCCGCATACTCCAGTTATCACCCTCATCACCTTGCCTCATTCCTGGACTTTGCTGCCAGACTACGATTTATCTCGAGCACCTTTCCTAATAACTGACACTAATAGGCATTCAATGTTTGTTTATTGAATGGTGAATATACCAAACAAATTATCTAAAAAATTTCAGGTGTATATATACCGTTGAAGAATATTCAAGAAGAAAAAACCGTGTGTGTGTGTTTTTAAAGAACCCAAAAGATTGTTCAGTAATTGCAGTGTTTTAACTACCTTGGAAGTTGCCTGTGACTGGCAGGGAGGGGAAGTAAAGATTTTTTTTTGAAGAAATAAATGGTAATTTTTTGGAAAAATACTTATTTAAATTATCTCACTTAATTCTTAAAACCCTTCTTAGGGGTCCTGTTTTGTCCCCTTTTTTGCATTTGTGGAAACCAAAAAGTGTAGCTGTGGTTAACGCTGAGATAGAATTCAAATGGAATTCAAAGGCATCCTCTTGTTCCAGGTGCCTGAACTCTTACAAACCATGCTGAGTTGCATGTCCTTTAACTGTATTTTTCATGATGTTAAAGTGAGTCCACTCTCACCAGTCTTTGTTGAGTCCCTTCATTGGTGCTGAAACCAGGCTCTTGGGAACCTTATTGGCAGTGTTTAATTCTTTTGTAATTTATGTCTGTCTGAAGTCTGTCTGTCCAGCTTGGGTTACATAAAGAGGCTTTGAATCTGGAGTGGCTGTTACTGCATATCATGGGGCAGCTGTGAGTACCTGGTGGTCTCAGAATTTTGATAAGTTCTGAGACTGCTGTTGGTATACTGAGGAAGATCTGCATTCACTGATTATACAGGCCAGGAGCAACAGCGAGGATTAGCATAGTTTCCTAGTATGCATGCCTTTCTGGTGTATTGATTTCCCAGAATATTTCTCAAATTTCATGTACCTATGAGCCTTATTCTTGGGGTAAATTGATTTATACTGCTAGACTCCTCGTAATTGACACAGTACCACTTCTGAGCACTTACCCTTCACAGATAACCCTAGCTGGAGTAACCTGAATTAGTAAGGACACATTTTCTTTCATCTGTACACCTTTGAATTAGTAAACCAAAGATTAAAACACTAATTTTAAAAAACATTCTAGCTTTTTATGGGCTAGGTGTATGAAATTCTATGAAACAAAATAAGTTTATAATTGTTTGCCAGGTTTTTTTGAGGGAGTGGCTTGCTTATAACTCTTATGAGAAGTAAATCCTTTGTGTTCCCTCAAGTCACAGTCCTTGGATCCAGCTTCCAGGGCCTTTCTGATATGCACACCTCTCTTGGTGCCTCAGCCACCTTTCTCCTTGGCGCCAAATGCGTTCCCAGTTGAGGAATTTCTTACAGTCACGTGCTTCATGCTAACATTTTGGTTAAGGATGGGCTACATGTGTTATAGCGGTCCCATAAGATCATGGTGCCATGTTTATACTGTACCTTTTCTATGTTTAGATTCACAAGTACTTTGTGTTACAATTGTCTGTAGTATTCGGTACAGTATGTGCTGTACAGTTTTGTAGCCTGGGAACAATAGGATATTGCATACAGTCTAGGTGTGTGGCAGGCTATACCTTCTAAGTTTGCCTAGGCACACTGCGATGTTCCCACAATTGTAAAATTTCCTAATGGCACATTTCAAGGTGCATTTCCACACATTCCTCAGAATATATCTCTATTGTTAAGCAACACGTGACTGAACTTGCAGTTCTCTACCTGAAACAGACGTGTAACTTACATAGCCACATCCCTGATTTCCTTCAGGGTCTGTTCACATGTTATCAGTGAGTCCTTTTGACCAAGTATTATGAATAGTCCCCAGCCCTAATTTTCCCTTATGTGCTTCTGTTCCGTGTCTTCCCCGTACCATCTGTCCCCATCCAATATACTCTAAATAGTTCATGTTTCTTATTTTTTAAATTGCTCTCTCCCCCAGAAGGTAGGTGTGTTGTTTTCATTTACTGTAGAATAATGTCTTGAATTAATATATGCTAAATATTTGTTGAATGATTAAACACAACATACAATTTAGTAAGTTTACAACTACTACATATTTATGGAAAGAAATATATTGATTCTTTCTCATTATGGGCAACAGTGAATAAAGTAAGCTAATCCTGGGCTTGGGTATTTGTGTTATTTATCATATTTGCTGTAAGTGGTTGATTCAAAGTGATGATTTCATTTGCTTTTCATAGCTTCATCTAATTTTAATTGAAATTGGAGGGGCAATTATATAGTGATTAAATGCAAATGTTTTATAATTTCCAAATTTATCTGATGAACCGAAAGAACTAAAACCAAGTTATGTTTTAAGGGAATTAATGTGTTTTCCAAATCATGTTGTGGCCATTGTTGTGGACTGGCAGTAACTATTAACCATACGTAATGACTGGAAGGCAGCTGTGGACACCCTGTTCCTTTTGCCAGTGTAGGAATGGAAGTGGGTCCCAGTCCTGATGATTAACACTGAAAAGGAAGACTTCTGGCAGCTTCTGGAAAAGATTTCCTGAAACCTAAGAAAAAAGCAGAGCAAGAGATGCTCCTTTTGCTTCTGGATATCGCCTTGTCTGAAAAAGAAGCTTGCAGCTGGGGAGCTCTGATTGCCAGCCTGAGGGTGAAGCTTGACCTGCAATGCAGCCAGCTGCCTCTGCACTTCTTGTTTAGTTAGATGATAAATTTCCTTCCTGTTCAACCGTTGTAAGCTGGCATTTTGGTAACTGCAGCCCCAGGAACATCAAAACGGACACATCTCATGTCATAACTTTGAACGTCGTAATGTCATAATTTTGAATATTTATTTCATTGCTACATCATTGCCACTTGTACCTCATAATAAATCCATTTGAAAACCTTTCCTATGACTGAATTGAGCTTATATGCATTTACTTTTCTTAATTTATTTTTGCTTGCTTTTTCCCTCAAATTTTAGAACTAAAATGAGTTTGGATGGCAAAAAGTTTTTTTGGAAACACTGAAATAAAATCTTGTAGGGCAAATTCGTCCATATGGGTTGTTAAAGCACTTGTAGTCTAAAATATGTTTTTGTTAAGTTTTAAAAAGTTTATAGAGGTCTAGAGGAGGAAATGTATAATATGATCTCAGCTTCTTTGAAGTTTACAATATTGTTTATTTTTGTACTGATTTCATCTCTGGAAATAGCTATTATTTTATAATATACCTTCCACTTTGGACAGGGCAAAAAAGTCAATATTTTTTGCTATGTGCTTTTGCTTTCTCCTGTGTTTCCTATGTTTTGCAATTTCAATTTTAGAGACAAATAAGTTCAAGTTGGCTAGAGAAAGCTGACTCTCAGAGGCATTGTATGTCGGAATGTTGGCATACTAGTAGTATTTGAACATGTAGCATTATAATTTTTTTTTCAAATGAAACTTCTAAACTCATTAAGAATGGGGTTTTCAGGCAGTTTAAATCTTTATCGTTTGGTGAGAAAACATTTCATTGCTTGTGTAATACATGGAACACAGTTTGAGAGCCTGCTACAAGTGGGGTCAGTGAAGGATGACCCTGTAATTTTTCATTCAGACAGATAGTTTCGAGAGTGAAATAATTCCAGGACAGCAGACATAAACTGGGAGTGTCTCAGGCAAACTAGACTCATGGCACTGAAATGATGGATGCTGGAGTAGAAATATGGATCTCTGGTACATAGAAGTAGAGAAGTACTAATGTGAGTCGCCTTCCCTCTTCTACTCAGCTACTGGAGTGCGCCTAAGAAGCCCTGGCCCTGCAGGGAATCTCCACAGCCATTTAGACTTAGCAGAGTAGTCACACCACTGGATGTATTCAGCTCTTCAGCACGTGTTCATTGAGCAATTGCTATGTGCCAAGTGTTAGCTGAGGTGCTGAGAGTGATAAATTACTTGATTCTTGAGATTCTTAAGCTTTTTCCCATTTATTCAGCAGAACTTGGCAATGAATCATTCCGTACCTGTTCCATTAGCAGTTGAGGGAAGTAAAAATGATTATTTCAATGGTAAAAGGGAGGGCAGCCCTAAATTTGAATTTGAAATATGATGTCTTTTACTAGGCCTTCATCTCTACCCCCTCCTCCCTGAACTTGAACTACAATTAGGACCTCTGTATAATCCCTTTGCAATCTTTCTTACAGTTAGAGGTAACTTAGGTGTAGAACACAACTGACACAACTGTATGTGTTGGTGTCAGGTGTACTAGTGGTGAATTTTGTGTGGAAATAGTGTTGCAAATGGTAACTGCAGGAAATGTAAGTGATGCGGCAGGGTCCTGTGTATCTGTCTCTGTTTCTTCTAAAATTTGGAAAGAGGAACGTGGGAGTATGTTTTTGTTGATAAAAGAAAAATGAAGAGACATAGAAAAAACAGTGAAAAAGGAAAAATAATAAAAAAGAAGAGTAATACATCGAAATGAGAATTTTCCAGACCACATTAGTGTGCATACATGAGCTGCACAGAGCTACTTAAGATTAGAACACTGCCCTTCATGTCACCTTGGCCTTCCTGCCGCAGGCTGTGCATGCACAGAGCACTCCCTTTAGTGACTATGCTTGCTAGGAGATTCTTAATGAGGTCAGGAGCAGTCCAGGATCAGCAAACGGAATCTTTGAACTCTTGAATTTAGCTCTTTTCCAAATAGTTGGATTTAATTGAGGATCTGTTTTAATGTTCCACATACAAAATACCAAATAACTTCAAATAACTAACTTAATATAATAGATTTTAGACTGGTTTTAACTTTAAAATCAGTTTTCATATACCCTGATATCTTATTTTCCTTAGGACTTGTAAAAGGAAGAAGAACTTTTAAATTTTCATATATTTTAGCTGTTATAGAATAATATGATTACTTGTAGGGGTTTCCTTTAGAAGATAATAAATAGTTATGTATGATTTCTTTTTCTTTTTAACTGTTTTTCAAGTAGAATAAATAAAGATATAAGTGAAAACATTGAGTGTACCTGAATAACAGAAAGTTCAAGTGCGTCTTAGTTGCCTCATTGCTGAATTCAAACTTCAGGACTTAGGAATTAATCGCTTATGAGCACAAAAGGAGCTTGAACTCATAATGAACTTTTGGCAGGTTTAGACATGACTATTTTAGAAATTCATGAACATTTAAACAATGATTTTGTTTT